TCCAATCAGAAGAGGACGGTAAAGGAAAATGTCAATCACTGGATACAGGACACAACTTGTAGTATATAAATACGAATGAATTCACTTTGTCAACATAAATGTTTGTCAACCATTTTTAACCATAAATGGAATTTTCTCAACCATAAAAAGAAGACAAATGCAACATATAACACACATACCACTTCTTGAAGCTTCAGAGGTGGTCCTGATAGTGATCTCCACTGAGGAAAGAACTCTTCAGCAGACACTGGTATAGGCTGAAGAAATTTATTCAAGACAGCTGGGAGGCGAAGCTTGACATTGACCTATGAAAGGGTTACTATAAGATATATGAAGACACAAATATGACCTATTTTCTGCTTCATTGGCCACAAGAAACCACAGGATTTTAGATTAAAGTACCATATTGTTACCAAACTTGTAGGAGAAGTCAAGAACCGCTACATCCCTGCTTGGACGGAGATTCACAACTTCAAGTGGGCATTGTACCTATACAATCAAAAAGATATAAGGAAAATAAACAAATATAAGGACTAGGAAAGGAAAAGAATGAGTAAGAGAGACAAAGACAGAGAGAGAAGAGACCTAAAGGCTCATCAACGACCACAGATTAATTACATGAATAACAATTATTACCTGTGCCCTGGGAGGTATAGTGTCTGGTACTAGTGAGAGCTCCATTTTGAAATGGGAGGGAGGCAAAATTATAGCCTGAACTGACACAAGCGGTGAAGTATTTTTGTTTCCCAAGAAAAGAACAAGACATCCTTGATGAACCCGCCACTCTGCTTTAATTCCAATCTGGGATAACATCACATGAATGTCACTATAAGCCCAATAAGGCCAAGCTGAATGTTCACAATCTCTCTTGCAAAGAAAGAGTAGAAACTACAGAGTCTAAATACAAGAAAATATGGGTATTCATTGGGGGAAAACCTGAATATTAGGATCTTCGTATAGAACACCACTATCTTTCAAGCACAAAGCAAGAAATCTTTCAGCAATATTTCCTATTGGCTGCAGGTTACAATTATAAAATTAGTTTCATATATTAGTAGCACAGAAATCGAAAACAAAATCTGACTAAGTTTTATACAAAAAGAAATATAACAAATATCCTGCATAGTTCATTGCAGCATAAACACTTTTTTTTCCAGTTCAGATGCAGGTAGGAACAAGAAAATCAGACAAAACTCCTATCAGGGGAATTCAAACTCCAAGAACCAAACAAACATACACAGAAGTATAACTGAAAAAAGGACAAGAATCAGAGGCAAAAGACATTTAGCTAACTATAGCTTATTTAACATATTCAACAGCTCAAAAACACCGTTACTTCTAAAAACAAAATATACTGTCAATTTCTGATGGATAGTCTTGTTTACAGTGCAGAACACATTGCATTTGGAACAGATTCAGGTTCGACCCAACATGCTAGAACCTTGAAGCAATAATGCACCCACCAACGATTGGAGAGAACTGCTATAGAAAGTACCTGAACAGAATTTTGCTCCTCGCCAACAGGCACTATGGCTGCAGCATCTACTGCATTTGAATCACCTCCTACTCCAGGGATTACACTCTGCTGTGATTGAACAGCAGTACCGGGAGGGCCTTCGATAGCCAGTGGACCCAAGAGATCACCAAGGAGATCTGCTGAAGCAGGTTGAGGATCAACTGTACTCAAAGTACCATTTTCCTGAGACAACACTTGGTCGGTTGAATTGTGATCCTGTAACGATATTCAAACATACACCAATTTCAATCAAAACCGCATATAATCTTTGGATCTAAACCTACCTTTTGCAAACCCTAAGGCCCCGTTTGGTTCATGGGAAAGGAAACTTGGGGATGGGAAATCAATTGCTTTCCCATGTTTGGTAAGTCAGGCATGGGAAATCGTTGCCTTGGACATGGGAAAGTAGGGGGGAAAGTGAAGCCATCCTCCCTCCTTGGGTTTTACTTTCCCTTCTCATGGGAAAGTAAGGCTAGCATTAAATGCACCTGTTTTTGACTAATTTGTCCTTACTAATAATTTATAATTATAGTTTTATCCAACTATTGGTATTCCTTTTTTATATTTTAATTCATAACATATTTTTAATAGGGGTAAAATTGGGAAACTAAACAAAATTAGTTTTCCATTCCTACTCAAAACAAACATGGGAAAAGAAATAAAGTAATATTTCCGGGTTACTTTCCCGGCATTACCAAACATGGGAAAGGAATCACCATTTCCTATCCCTTGGGAAATGACATGGGAAATGATTTCCCATCAAATCCATTCCGTGAACCAAACGGGGCCTAAATTCCAATAATAAGAGTAAAAAGATAAGAATAATAAGAAAAAAGAAAAGGCAAAACTAACCGCATTACTGCTCATGCTGGGAATCTTCACAAGACCGAGCTGGTTGACAGGTGGGGTCCCATTAGCAGGACGTTGGTCAGTAACAACCAAGGCATTTGATGTTTGCTGCTGGGCCCGCAACTTGATAGCACTTTGTTCTGCTGTATCAACCTCAGTATCTTCAGCCTTTTTTATCAATGCAGACTATATACGAACAAAAAACAAAGTTAAGAGTTGGTTTTAATAATTTTCAAGAATTTGGTACTGTTGTGAATAGCCTGATTCTATAAACTTCTTCTGAACGAAACAGCAAAACAAATTACCTGCCGCTCAGGAAATTTAGGCATTTCGGCCAATATATCCACAAGGGCTGCACCTCTCCTACTCAAGGCAAGGTATTCAGCAGCTCGTTGTTGTATCTCTACATCAATGCAACTCTCATACCTGAAAGAAATAAACAGTATGCTAACGAAAAGCACAGAATTTGATAATATAAAAAAATTAACCAATTTGAAAAAAAGTAATGGTGCTGAGGACAATCTCACTTGTTGAATATCGCCCAAATCTGATTTTGTAGTTCTGCATCTGGAGGTTGAGTGTGCATAAAGATCTTAGCATATGTTGAAAGAAGAATAGGAACCGTATAAGTCCTGCAAATATAATACACACTAAGATAAATACAGGAATTGTAACTGAATTTAGTAAGAAAAAGAGTCAGGGAAAAGTTTTTAAGTGCCCTTACGATACAGCAGGAAGCTTCTCATGTATGACGCTAAATAATTCCTTTGGACTACACCCAGGCCGTCTGGCCAAAAGGTGGCCAAATTCTCCAATGATATATGCACTGACCTGTTGATGTGAATTGAATCCAAACAAATCAAGACATTTATTTTCCTTAGATGGTTACGTTTGGTAGAAATATATGCAAGAGAAACAATAAAGATTAAGGTGAGTTCAAATTGAAACGGATCTCTTGAGTAGCATATGTGCAAAGATATACAACCTAGAACCAAAACCATAGGACTCTTTTTTGAACATAATGAGAATCAGCATTAAGCATTTCGATCTCACAATTCTCGACCTCCTTGTCTTTCTATTTTACTTTATTTAGAAGACATACCAATTATATATTATTTCTTTTTATTTTTTTAACAAGAGGTCAAGAAAGTACAACAGCAGTGGATAACTAGTCCACTGAACAAATCTCTAACATTCAACTACCTACTCAGCACTAACACACCAAACACAGTACAAAGATAAAAAGTCTCAAGAAACTGCAGCCCACCCCCTTCACCAAAAAAGGGCGCATAAATGAGGAAAAAATTATTTCACTAAACTCATAAAACAAGAATCCCACACTCAACAATGCACTCTTTCCCACAAGAAATCGACGTCCTCTCAATGTTTTCCTTCGAGAATCCAACACTCTTGCCAACTCGACCACCTAGAAGATGACCAAGATATGGAAGGTTGATAACAGTCGCCTTTTTTCCTACCACTAAAAGCACAATTTCTCTCGATAAAATCTGTGCAAAGTTGGAAACCTCCAACTCAACCTTAAATTTGGATCCTCTCCTTTCTTTTTTTCTTTTTTTTGGTGAAAGATCCTCTCCTTTCTTGGCTATCCTTGGTTTTAATTAGAAATGAAAGGATTCCCTCATCCTGTTTGGGTAGTAAAACTAAGAAATACATAATAACCGTTGGATTTCTAATAGATGACTAAGATTAAAAAACAAGGGTTTCCAAGACAAGGAGAAGATCTTAATCTAAGTTCTCAACCTTACACTAAACAACTTATGCCATAATCTGAGTGCAACAGTGCTGCTAAACAATTGAGAAATAAATTATTGGTATTCTCAATTCCTTCTTAACCAAGAAGATGATATGCAAACATTATGCTTATCAATTGTTCCCGCTGGACTGAGAAAAAGGATTGATGGTTTACCATCAACCAATTAAATAGAATTTGCAAGAGAAGGTTCCATCAAATTCTACTTGCCCATGTTCCGGAGCCTCTTCAAAGTTAAATTACAGCCCATTGAAATGGAAGAGGAGACCCAAGCCTTAGGCCCCCTCTTACAAAAAAATAAAAGAAAAAAAAGAAGAAAAAAGAAGAAAAATACATGGAAGAAGGGACGACAGATTAGCAATTGAAATTTGGCACATTATAAACAGATGATAATCTAAAATATACAGAAATAAAAACCATAGAGTGATCACCCACCCAAATTTTCCAAAAATCTAATTCTCCCAAAATTTTCAACAACTAATTGAAGAAAATGACAAAAGAAACTAATTCCTTGTGAAATGTCTTTCCAAAGATTTGAACTTCAACTTTAACCTCCACCGCATTTTAGAGTTCTACCTACTGGCATCAATGCAATCTCTAGCTCAGATGACCGCATGCCAAAAGAATTTCCAAAAGGAAATTTCTCAATAAACTTCGCTAACAAGGCCAATTCTGACCTGCTTATGTAACTAACAAAAAATCATGCTCTATATATGGGCCATGAGGTCTCATGCAAATCATGTGCACAGCAATGGAAACACAATTCCTAAATCATGCAATCAAGATAATCATGGCTCTATATATAAAGAAATGTTCTCTTTCCAGATTGAATCTGGACCATTGATCATGTTGATTTTTTTCCAGAAAGTGTGGTTCCAAAACATTAGCCTATATATGTGTGTGTGCATGCATGTATAAAACGTTCCCACTGATCCGGCATATAGTATTATCTTTCAGATTTAGATAAAGCTTGCATGGAAAACGTAATCATAGTCTATACACACCTTAACCATTGTCTCATGTATAGCAGGTTTGTCAAGATACTCTCTGGCTTTTGCTGCTGCATATGGCTGATCAAGGGCATAACATCTCACTCAAATAATTACTAGAAAAACATATCTAATCAAGTAAAAATGCAGCAAAGCATTCTGACCTGTAAGTCTTCATTATTTGTAACAAATTGCACAACACGAAACCATATATCATCACTGACAAAATCTCCAGCTTTGTCAATTAGTTGAAGAATCACATCTACATACCTGCATAATATCAATATGCACAAAAGAAAAAATGATAATATCACTATGCATCCAATTAATAATAGGTTTACCAACTTCCCATAAATACTTTTACTTCCACTCGTAACAAAGGAAACTCCCAGAAGATCCAAAAGAAGTACAAATAACTAAATCACAGAATGCACCACCCAACAAAAACAAAATTATTAAAACTTAAAGTTTTTAAATAGGTATATATTATATATACATATAACAATATGAAAAAACACTCAAGTCAATTCACTAATCCTAACTAATTGAAAGTCGAAATGCAGAATGCATTGTCAGACCAAAAACAAAGAAGTCGGATACATTGATCCTTTTTCACCTCAGTCCCATCATAGGTAACCATGGAAATAGAAAATGGTAGTTTCAAAGTAAAATGACACATAGCAAGTCGTAGTTTCAAAGTAGAAACAGAAAGAGAAGAAGACAACAAGATGATACAATCAAGACCAAACAGACACTGAGCATTTTCAAAAGATCATGAAAAATCACTCCTCTTGCATAATATCAAACAGATATATCTTTATAATCCAAAAATGTGTTTAATTTAAACAAGAGTCATTGTGATTGAGATTGACTGTCTGCATTAAAATTCTTCTGTGTCTTCATCTATTATTCCCTGCTTCTCTATTTCTCCTTTCTCTTTGATATTAACTAAAATGTGATTTAGAACTACACTTGCTTAATAATTTAGAATCGTATGCCTGTTTTCAGATTTCTCCACTGGTGTATTGGTCTAATGCCCTATCTCGTTCATTGGAGAGCCATGTTCATTAAAAAAATGAAAAAGGAAAAGAGCAGAATGAGAGCCATGCTTACCATGACAGATCAGGGGCAAATTTTTCGGCAAGAATGGCAGCTTTAAGTGACAATTCCTCACGCATTGCAAAGTCCGCTGTGCTAAGATACTGAAATGCAGATGAAAGTCAGTGGTACCTCATTTTGTGATTGAGAGAATAAATGTCTGCTAATATAAAACAAGAGGCAATCTAGTAAAATCATATACAACCAAGTAGTACACGCACAGAGCATCTGATGTACCTGCAATAGTTCTTCAACTATATCTTTTGCATTTGAAACATCGCACATACCATAAAGCAAGTCAAGAGCACGCCTACGAATACTGAGCATAGAATTTGATGTTAGTGACCCCTTAATGGTGTTAGATATATAAAACTTAAGCACAGAATATAAGAGTGAGTGTGCTCATAATATCCTTTAAGTATAATAAGAATTTCTGCGTTAGGACAATTAACTTCAGGAAACCGTGCCCAAGAAAAATAAATAAATTTGCAATGTTAATACTATGGGTTAGAGACATGTGCAATGCATGGATAAATGAACAAAGTGATTATAGTACAGACTACAGAGTGAGCATGATGCCAAAATCAAAGAAAAGATGGAAAGCTTCGATAGATAAAAGATGCTACAAAAAAGGTATGAGGTCATGTAAGCTCCGAGAAACTTGCATATTTTGACGTTTTATTAGTTGTGGGCCCATGGAATCAGGCCAAATGGACCTAGGAAATAGTATTGCTAAAGGATGGCATTGTAATGAATGAAAACAAAAAATTTCATGTCTGCTTGTAAACCAAATACAGCCCGATAACAAATTTAACCTGATATCTGGATCCTTCAATGAGGTGATGATCTGAGCCTGATGTCTCTTGATGATATCTTGCACATCCGTCACCATTAGCATGCGTGTCATATTTTCCTACATGAGCAATTTCAAATTTAAATCATGCAAATTTACAGCAGCCACCTATTTATCCTTCTAAGGTTAAACATACTTCCTCTGCATGCTTCAGTCAGGGATTGTGTTAAAATGAAAATGTGAAAAACCAAAAGATATATTTACTGAACTATTGTTATTCATTTATTGATCCTTAGCCTAATAACGAAGCCAGAATTATTTTTTACCACTTACCAAACCAAGATATCGGATATTTGGTTCTCGCACAGCAATAAATTTTCCAAGCAGTGCAACACACTGAGACATCATTTCCTTCTCAGCATCCAGATGCATGACCTAAAATTATGCAATAATAAAACATAATACATAAGATCCCGTTGCCTTTTAAAAAGGAACAGATAAGACACTTGTGTGTGCGCATGCCTGAAAGAAAATGAAATAAAGTTTCAAACATTTCCTAGCAAAGAAATATCTCCAAAATGATTTCACCAGCAATGTTATAATCTCAGATGACAGCACAACCCAAATTTACAGAAAGAAGAGGGCGGGAAGAATAATGCAGACGATACCACTTCCACTTACATAGCCGAGCCATAAAATTATAAAAGCCCTTATATGATTCCACATACATGCATGTGCATTGTCAACGTATGTACACAGAATATTTTGTTTCTTTCAATGCAAAAGTAACTAGAAGGACTACTGGAGTTCCAAAAGCATAAAAAAATTGTCAGCCAAGTAGGGGAACCTATATGCATGTATAGTTTCAATAAATGGTGTCAAAAATTCATGATCATACATAAAAATTACTGCAGAAAACTTACAAGAGCAAGGGCTTCAAAGAGAACAGCATGCGATGCATTGTTCTTATTAACATTTTTAACAACATCGGTACCCATCAATATCCGTTGTAAGACCTGAAACCACCAGTACAAGGTTTAATAGAAGCATAAAATATAACACCACAACTGATAATAAGTTCTTGACAGAAAATGAACCTCAAACAATGACCGTCTGGTATTTGGATCTTCAACAGTAGGAAAATACTGAAGAGCCCTCATTGTCTTAACCTGTGCAAAAAAACACTTGTAAGAAAAACATGAACTTGTTCTATACTCACCAAATGCTACAAATTTTCCAACAAATTAAGTGACTTTCCAACACATTTAAGTGATAGAAACAGTGTCCTAGTAAATTGTCCAGGCAAAACAAGAAAATACAAAATATATTCTCAGGAAGCTAAGTACTGGCAGCACTACAAAGATAGTTCAAAGTCATTGGAATTTTAAATCCCAAAAAGTTAAAAAGATCTTGCCTAAAAACTGTAGTAAACCCAAGAGGAAAAACTGAAGCCAGAACCAAATTTCCCGTTGTTTAGCATGCTCTAGAAGGTTAGGCTGGTTAGCACAAATAAGGCACATGATATAAAATAAAATTTAAAAACATATATTATTATTATAAGGCTGATTAAGTTATAATCTATGGAGCAAGGATGATGGGTGATGTTACAGTGACCCATGAAAAAGTAAAGTCACAGCATTGACTGCAATTGGTGGAAGCTTTAAAAACAAGTGGAGTAGTTGGCACATTTAAAAAAGAAAAAAAAAGCAAAGAGAGAGAGCTATGTCAGTTTAATATAGACATGACAAGATTAATCTGTTTCGGAAGGAAAAAGATAAATCAGCCGGCTGATTTTATTTGGTATCCGGTACATACAAAGAAGTCAGACGAATAAAACAAAATGTACATATTACAAACCTGAAGCCAGGGAGATGGGATACCATAGTAGGTGTACTCTTGTGGAATATCCTGGTTCCTAGCAAGCCGTTCTAATATTTTAACACATTTTGGAAGACAACTCCAGTAAGAATCATGGTGGTTTGATACGAGGGCTACTAGAAGGCTCATAGATGATGTCAAAACACCAAGATCGCGTTCATCTAAAAGTTGTGCCATCCGGTCAGCCCTAAAATAAAGGGAAAATGATAGACCAATCAAATAAGCACGGAAGGCAAAAGTAATGCAATACATCATGTAGTGAAGAAAGTAATATGCGAACATACCAGCCATCTACATTGACAACATCAGGATTTTTCCTATACAAGCGCAATAGACATAGTGCAGCCTTTTTTCTCACAAGTGGCCTGTAGCTGCTAGAAATCTAAATATAACAACTTGGTCAACAACATCATTTTCTATTAATTCAAGCCAAACAGAAAAAAAGGATTGCAACTTACAAGTAACTTTTGAACATCAGGTGCTAATGACTCCGCAAATTCCCTTCCGCCGATATTCCCAACCTACAAAGTCAAATACAAATAAAATAATGATTAGGCATAATCTAAGAGCAGTAAATTTTTTTAATGAGGACACAACAGGAGAGAATATAAGAAAGACAAAAGAAGAAAACATGGAAGCAACAGGTTTAAAGAAACGAAAACAGAAAGAACAACTTATCCAAATGAAAGATTCAAGATATCCCAAAATCAGATCAAACTACAAATATTATTAAAAGACCTATTCAATATTGACATAGCAGATAATCAAATAATTCGGGAAGACAAACGCATAAGATAAGATCCCTTTTGATCATTATCATATAAAACTTTAAAATCAAAATGAACAGCATGTTTTGAAAACTGAACAGATATTGTCATACCATAGTCAATGCCAAACACTGGAAAGTCTCGTTACGACCGATAATATCATTGCGCACGGTATTTATTGCTAATCTCAGAAAATCATGGTTCTCATTGAGCAGACATGACGTCACAATGTACCCAACCTGCAGTCAATTAAAAAGTAAGATCCTTTCTTCTTTTTTTTGGACAATGAAGATAAGTCAATATAATGGAATAAAAGAATTAGTTACTGCCATTGAAGTTAATCGCATATCAGAAGAGAAACGTGCATTTTAGTTTTTTTCCAAAGATAAATTTATATAATTGGTATTCAAAAGTACTGTATTAAAACTATACAGAAAGAAAACTGATGACCCTGAGATGTACAACGTCTATCACTGTTTACATCCGTTAATGTACAAAAAAGAAATATGATGAGAATGGGTTTACTTCCTAGAATTGCAAGCCATTTTGCCATAAATGCAAGGAAAATGAAAGATAACCAAATTCAAGCCTAGTCATTTTAAGATTGATGTGAAAATAAGATATCACCTGCTTTTCTGGATACTTAGGCGCAGATATTAAAGAAACTGCTTCCATGTGACCAAAATCCACATCATAGCCCAGCATATAAATGTAAAGCATTTTCCAAACATACTTCTTCTTTTCATAAGGTGACAAACCCTGTTGAAAGAATTCAAGAAAATTTCCATTAACCAGTCACCCCTTTTGGTTTGGCTGTTGCACTTCTAACTAAATAGTGAGCAAGCAGTAAATAGTGAGGTAAGTGTAAGCAAAAGGAAGTCCACCATATAAAAAGAAGATGGTACAAGATCATATTTATAGAAAACTGATCTATGTCTCAACCTATTTAGCGGAATCTATGCAAAACCAAAGCAAAGACAACCTAAGATTTGTGCAAGATAACTAATGTCAATTTTCATTATCATTAATGAGAGACAGAGAAAACACACACAAACAATAAATTTGCTAACGTTATATAAGAAACAAGATTTCACTAAATAGAATTTTTTTTTTTTAAAGTACAATGCAAAGGATGAGATATCCACCATATCCCAGAAATGTTGTTAAAAAAAAAAAAACCTGTTAGAAACAGCACTCCACCTAAATAACAGCATCCCGCCAGTCAACTAAAGTTGCATAACAAGAATTTCCTGAAATTCCGAAGAAAATGGGGCCCATAAAGATGCCCAAACCAAAAACCAACTTTATCCCATAAAATCTCCATCTCCTCTCACCTAAAAATATCAAATATCCTCCTATTTCCTCCAGCCAAATTACCCAAAACATAGCCATCTCTCCCTAAACCTTCACCCTTCCTCTTCCAGGAAAATTGGGCCACAAAATAAGGCTGTGCAGGGTGCTGGAAAAGCATCACCAGTAATAACAACACACAAGGTAGTACACGATACTTGCGCCTAAACAGAGAACAATAAGTTTCACTTGACACCATAGAAGAAGCATCCACAGATAAAGGGGAAAAAAACTTAGAAAGAGTTTCCTGAGATCAAAACTGAATCAAATAATATAAGTGCACATCTTTAGTGACCCAACCTAAAATCCACACAGGTGGCACAACAGTCTCTGGTACAGCGCTAACACAAAGCATCTTCGAGAAAACAATTAATTTCCTAATACCCAATCATTTAAGTTGCCAACTTTGCAGTCCAAGAATAGACCATTAAATCCTATGATGCATTGAGAATATGTAGAGAAACTAAACTGATCGCTAACTCAATAAAACTACTAATTCTACCAGGCTGGTTCAAGCACTTGGTTGGTGATGTGACACATAGCATATATCATGAGTGTGCACAAGGAGTAGAAGAAATGAACAATGAGAAATCACCATCACTTAAACTGAAGCCAATTTCCAACAACAACATTGAAAGTAACAAAAAAGTAACAATAAAATACAAACTGTAATGACCCCACTGTCATATCAACCCTAGAATGAAAATAATAACACATAAAGAATAAACATAACTCACTGTTAAGTCATCAAAATTAATTCAATCTAAGACAAGATACTACAGAGAAAGGACTGAAGATCAGTGAGTGAATCGGGGAAGAAGATGTGGGTACATAACAATTTATAAGATTAAAGAAATCTTATTCCTTTAAAGAAAAATGCAAAAAAAGGGCTTCCCTGGTCCAGTGGTAACCTTATTCAATACAAACTGTGCCTCGAATTTCTTAAAACTTTGGGGTCTGGTGACACATGACAACATTTTATAATCAACAACATGCAACAGTGAGTTTCAATATATTCATATCTCAAATTTAATACACATTTAGCTTGCTTGTGTGGCATACCCCTTTCTAAGGAAACACGTCTACATTAACACATCATTTTGCCATTATGGTATTTCAATCATTCCAGGTAATTTCTACCTACTTTTATATCCTTTCAAATATATTTGACAACATATATAAAAATTGAAACAGTCATCAAGTTCCCTTCACATTTGAATTCAGTGATGGACAGCAACAATTCATATTCCAATTACGGGATAGCCCAAATGTGCTTACAGAGCATCTTAAATTCAGCATAAGAACAACTAGGTATAGGTTGTTGAATGGATTCCTTTCAATCTTGGTTTAAAATGTTAAAAATGGATGTTGTGTGACCAAAGCACCACAAGCAATAGAATTGAAATGCAGGAGCACTGACTCCTTTTAGGTGAAGGAATGCCACAACCAAATAAATAGCTACGTCAAGACTATCCTCATGTGTTTTCCAATCTCCCTAGGCACAGCCTAGGATGCATTTCCCATCTTATTCACTTCCATAACAAAAATCCAGTTCAATATTTCAAAAAATTGTGGATAACATACACAAGTAGTAACATCTCAACTCAAATTTAATCAGATTCAATGATATCCATCTAAGAGAAAAGCAAATGAAGGTGAACGCCTCTGGTTCATGCCTATCACTTGAAGTCCATCGACTGAAACTGTAGGAACTAACATGTTCCGTTCATTGAGCTATTTATATTAAACCCATGGTATTATAATACCAAGGAATATATGGAGTACCAAATTCCTACTGCCTCTCCCCAATAATGAGTCCACAAAAAAGCCATTTCTAAATAAGCTTGAAAACCAAAAAAACCAATGCTGATGCCACCCAACTCTACGCAAATAATCATAGAACTAGGTAACCTATATTTTCTTAATAATAAATCCACCTCAAGCTAAGTTCACATTTTCGCTTCCAATTAATCATACAAAACCCGAAATCACAACACTTTAGTTTCCTTTCATTTCCCAGACTTTCTCAGCAGCCCAACAAACACCCAAGAAAACCCAAATCCCAAATTTAAGCAATGAAGTCATTCCACCATGGTCTAGATCAAAAACCTCACTTGTCTCCTATCCCCCAAAACTAACAAAAACGAATTTGCAACACGAGAATACAAAGGAAACGCGAAACCCTAACCCTAAGACAAACCTTTTCGTTTTTGAAGCGTGTACGGACATTCCCAAGCTCCTTATCGACCCGGAGCCTCTCCTGCTCTTTGTTCTGGCAATTCCGAATGTCGCTGATGAAAACAGAGAGGCCTCGCATGCCTGACAAAGCCATGACTACTCAGATCCAACCCTAGCGAGACACACACTCACAGAGAGAGAGAGAGAGAGAGAGAGAGAGAGAGAGAGAGAGCCACCACTGCTCAGCTCCCCCAAATCGTCGAAGATCCTTGTGGGCTTGTATTGGATCTAGAGACTAGCAGAAATTGAATACTGTTGGTGAAGATCAGCAGCTCCTCCAATTACAAAATGGAAAAAATGGGTTTGATCTAATTCTAATGCCTCCTTCTTAGAGAGAGAAAGAGAAAGAGAGAGAAGGAAGGTGGACTGAGGAAATTTGAGAAAAGCCGTCGGTCAGTGCTGGAAGGAGGCGACTTTTATTCACCGTGCCCAATTGAATCATTTCATTTCATGACATTTTCCACCTAATACTTATTTGTTTCTTCTTCATTTTCTTCATTTCTTTTTTAATTTTAATGTTTTATTTCTCCTCCTCAATCCTCAGACGGAGAGGCAAAATGTAATCACTGTTTTTTTTTTTTTTTTTGGGGAAAATAATTGCAAAGTGTAATTACTTGATTAAATTACCACAATAAATTGTTTTTTATGAGCTTGTTAATAATATATATATATATTTTTTTTTTTTTTTAATTTTAATTTATTTATTTATTTTTTTGGGTGGTGGGTTCTGTGGGTCTTTATTGTATCTTTTTATTTGTTTTTACCTTTTACCCAATACCCAATTATGCATGTGATTCTTGTATGGGCCATGCAATGGAGTGCTCTTAATATGACATGGCTTTTTTTGTCTAATTTTGGATAAACGAAAGGATTTATGATCTACCAACATTTCTATAGATTTAACTGCATTGCCAGGTAGGATTTTAATTTATAAATTTTCCAAAATTAATTATACTGATGTCTGCTGGTTTCGCTTGCTATTAATTCACTGGTAAAATAGAAGAAACTAGAGGCATGGCATGAATTCAAGTCAATTTCTTACAAGACTTATTTAATTCTAAGAATTCAAACAAAACCTGAATAAAGCTTCTAGAGGGCCCAAAAGTGTTCCATTAATATCCAACCAGCCCAGTAAGGCCCACCAAATGGAAAGTAGCATGAAAAAGGCCCAAAATTAATGTTATTGGAAATAATTATCTTGGAAAAACAAGTTCTGAAGTAACACGAACGCCACCTTGCATTGTTATGGTTTCATCGAAAAATAACCTACCTTATAAAAGTTTCTTATAAAAGTTTCTTAACAATTTTTGAAAATTAAGCTATGCATATTGAGAAAAATAACACCAACACCACTTTGCCCTCCCATTTCGTCATTAAACGTTGAACCATGCAATGCATATTGAGAAAGAACTTGGGTTCCTACACTAGATACTTTGAGTACCAAACCAAGCTATGCTTGACAATGGCAGTAGCCCATTGGATGAGCATGCCTATTTGGACAATAATCAAGTCGAACAAAGCAGTCACGAGTGGTAAAACATATTATTTTCTTGAGTAAAATGTGTGTTTTTGGTCAATATGTTTTGCCTCAACTCGCATTTGTTTACTGTTCAATTTTTCGATTTTAATCACATTTGATCATTTACCTCTTTCATTTGATACAAGGAAGTTCAAAAAGAGAGAAGAATGCTCGAACTGTTGTGGCTTAGGCATAAAGGTAAGTGGTTTGTACACTACAAGCTCTCACAAGTGCAGAGAAAATTACCCACAAATTAAGGTTACTTCATCAAGATTATTAGATCAATTTCCATCACAAATGTTTTTTTTTAGTGCGGAAAGAGGAAAATTACAAGCAAAAACCACAAGGGCATGCAGACCCAAACAAGTCAAAAAAGAAAGGAATAGAACAAATCAAAGGCAGCCCCGACTCCCAGAGCTTGGAAGGATTCAGCCCATGGCCCAAACTTGCAACAACATCAGCCATGAAGTTCACCTCACGGAAGACATGACTGAAAGATAGAGATTCACAAAAGGAATTGATAAGCATTACCGACTCTCGAAAATGGTGTTGCTTGAAGCATTATGGAGATTTATTTTTTTTTAGTAATAAAATAGACATTAACAAATGCGATCCAAAAATGATCAGATATCCATTTGATTGGCATTCACTCCATCCATCTACCAACAAAGGAACTCCATATAGGCTATTGCCATTGATCATACAAACAAAAAACCACAACAGTGGATGTGAATCCATGGTAAATGACAGTCTTACCAGGTTTTCATGTGGCAGTCACTGCAACAAAGATGCACAGAACATTGGCAGTATCGTCAATTCGTGGGGTTTATGATTACTATCGTTCGGTAAAGATAGAGGTAGATGAGAGGCAAATCAGATGATGCATGATTCATGAACACAAGGCATTGTTTCTTATCACTAACATAAGCAATATATTATCAATCTAGCCCCATCCTTTTGGGGTGATTTATAGCAGACTAAATCTGAGTAAAAAATATAAAGAACATACACGACCATTCGGCATTTGAGAACCGGAAGTAAAATCTGTCACTCTATAGTTGGTAATTAATTGGTATGCATTGCTGCTGCTATTGCACTCCACTCAATTTAGCCCAATCTACGAATTGCATACCGCCGTAGATATTGTTGGCAAATCGTACACCTATGGTCAAGGCTTTTAATAATCCTTGTCTTTAGTTGGGTAGTCATATTTATTTTTTCTTTTGGGTATATAGAATCGTAAAGAGTTCTTGGTCAAATAGAACTGCTTTCTTCTTGCTAGTACATCTGATATTTGGTCTCTCTAGAATTTGTTTATGCAAGCTGATATTGGATTTGATACCATAAAAGGCATTTATGCAAGGACCCACATTTTCAAAGTAAGATCTTTCTCTCAACACTACGTGGGTATCATCAAAATGATCAAAACCTAAAATAGAAACGAAGCAAATTCACATTATATAATACCACAATGATGCAAAATTAGATACCTTTTTATGAGCCAAACACATGGATAACTTATACTTATATTGGTTTAAAGCACGTGTGGCCTCTCGGCCTAACAGATGTGCTTGTATTGTTCTAAGTGTGAAAATGAATTTTGGAAGGAGAAATGTCTTTTCTAATTGCTGTTACAATATTTGATACGGGTGTATGGATTTACAAAGGAGTTCAAAAGCAAGAACGTTTTAGAAAATATTTGGTTATGAGGCCAGAGGCCTGTTTGTTTGTTGTGTGTGACGTATTTTGTGCATGCTGAAGTTTGGTGATTTTAAACTATGTTTTTAACAGGTTGAAAAATTTGGTAAAGTTCATTTTTCAAGGAAGACTCTGCCGAAATTTCGGTAGAAGTCTCGGCTTTCTTTTCCTTTGTTTTAGGGGAAGAGGATGTTTGTAATTAGTAAGTGGGCCCGAAATCGGTTAGATGTCGGAAAACCCACAGGATCCGTCACGGATATTCAGGGCGGTTCCTGTCAATTTTCCGACGTCTTGATGAACATCCTCCACCAATCCGAACTAGTAAAACGAGCAGCCTCTACGCCCTCTTATTCTCTCAAGTAGCCACCACCCCAATAACCAGGGACGGACCCATTCCCAGGCTAACCTGGGCTATAGCCCAGGTGTCTTGATTTGTTTTAGCCTATATCAATGCTCCCAGCCTACCCAAGCAAACCCCACACACCCTCTTGCGCAGAAAACATCCCTTAGCTAATGCACGGAGAGAGATAAAAAACATGAAGAAAGAGCCAATCATCCCTGCTACACGCCAATCAACCATGCCCTTCAATGCTTAATTAAAGCAAACCAAATTAATCTTCAATTATTAATCTTCTTTTATTGTCTTAATTTGTTGATGTTGAAATTTGGGGACTTTTAAGAGTTTATGAAGTATCAATTAAGGATTTACAATTTTTTATTTAAAAAAATTATATGTAAATTATTTTTTTTCGGCTTGGCCAAAACATTTGATTGTAAAGATTTTGTAATTAAAAATAAACAAATGAAAGTAGGTCAGCCCCTTATAGTCCCCTAAAATTCCAATATGTTTTTAATTGTAATCATTCATGTTTTACGCCATAAAGCTTTAATCCTAAAAATTTCTACATTTTTGGAAAGAAAAAAATAGCTTCTACATTTGTAATTGTTTAATTAGTATGAGTTTATTTCTTTTGTTGGTTAGTGTGAGTTTCTGTTTTGGTTAATTAATATAGGTTTCGTGTTTTTAAAAAAATTGGAAATTTGTACACATCGGACCCAGGATTTTAAATTAGGGTGGGCTAGATTTACCTTACGTACAAGACTTGAAGGGATGAGCATAATCAATGGGATCGATGTGTACAAATTTCCAATTTTTTTAAAAACACGAAACCTATATTAATTAACCAAAACAGAAACTCACACTAACCAACAAAAGAAATAAACTCAGACAAATTAAACAATTACAAATGTAGAAGCTATTTTTTTCTTTCCAAAAATGTAGAAATTTTTAGGATTAAAGCTTTATGGCGTAAAATATGAATGATTACAATTAAAAACATATTGGAATTTTAGGGGACTATAAGGGGCTGACCTAATCCCTTCAAGTCTTGTACGTAAGGTAAATCTAGCCCACCCTAATTTAAAATCCTGGGTCCGTCCCTTGGCAACTACCATGAGCCATCCTAGCCACTCAAACATTAATTTTGGTTTAAAAACAAATGAGAATGGTTTCTGAAGCAAACAAAAAAAAAAGTATCAAAAGAATGTAGTGGATGGTTTTCAGGTTTTTCGAATTGATTAAAAAGTAACTACTGATTAAGAAAACTATTAAACTGATGAGCATGATAATAAATTGAGTTTTGAGAAATAAGTGATTACTCAGACTCGGAACGCGGATGGTCCAACTTAAATAAGCCAAAATTTAGGTCCAATTTTGAACTTCAAGAAAGAGAAAGCTTTCATCGATACTCAAAAGCGTTTTAAGGGTTTTTGAAGGGAACTTTAGGGAACTCGGTTGAGATTCAACCATCTTTGAACGTTGGCTCGCTCAGACTGACTTAGAGACAGTAAAGATGATGACGACAATGATTATGCGGAGATCTGCTTCTTCTTTTTGCAACCGACACACAGGTATTCCTGTTCTGCAATCTAGATCTATGATTTTTTTTCTTGAAAAATCACTTGGCTTTATTTCATGGTTCTTCTCAGTCCTCAAACCAAAACCCAAGCAAATCTAATAGGGGTGTATTCAATTGGGATTTTAAAAGACTATTTTGTGATAAATAAATCTTGTGGTATTCAATTAAGACTTTTAAATAATCTAAACAAGTCTTGTGGTATTCCATTAAGATTATTAAGATTTTTAAATGAGGGCGTCGAAATCTAGTGGTATTCAATTAAGACTTTAAACAAGTAACAAAAAGTTTTATGGTATTCAAAACTTGCTAATTTTGACCAATTTTTTTAAATGAGAGATTGTGTGAGATTTTTTAGTGGGAGGTATAAATACCAAGCCCTATCTCAAATCTCACTCTAACCCATCAGATTTTTCCTGTGGGATTTTTATTTGGCTCTCTCTACTTGCTGAAGAAGATGAACAACAAAGCAAGCAACAAGCCCAAGCCGAGCTTTTACCAGACACCCACCAACTTCAGATGCTAAAAATAACAACGGGGAATTGTTAAACTCCTTGGCGCCAAGCCAAATCACATGTTTCCCGGCCAAGAAACCCAAAAAACCCAATATTCCAACAAAAATCAGAAACAGAAAAGAACAAACAGACATTTGCCCTAAAATTTGGCATGGCAGGTGTTTGTGATTATGTGACTATGTCCCAATGACCCAGGTTCCTTGTATTTTGAATAGTGCTTCCTTTTTGGTTGTGTTCGATCATGATTCATGAAAAGAGAGCAAATGTATTTTTGGAATGTAATTAGTAGGTGCATTCTCTGCTCTGTGTCTAGTAGAGCAAGCAACATAGAAAACTATTCCAGTTAGCTTTGCTACTAACCTGCAGACTGCAGCTACCTTATGTATGCTCAACCGATTTCAAGGCAAGTTATTTTTTCTCATTATTTGACAATTTCTTAATGCTGCGTGTTTTTGTTCAAATCAAATGGTGATTGTATGGAGGAAGGAATCAAAAACACAAAACACAATGACTAGGAAAAGGGTAATGATAAATTTAAAAAAATATGAATAATGAATGGTTTCTTGATATACAACTTGGCTAGATGGCTTGCAGTTAGCCAACTTGGTTAGTAATATATGCGGGCGCATGTGATGTTATTGTTGACCCTTCTACACATAAGGAAACCTATCTTCCTTCTCAAATGCAAGTTTTCTGTAAAAGAAAATGAAACTAACGAAATAAACAGCTACTTGCACATGAGATATGCACTGGACTAGGTGGAGGAATCAACAAATTGCTGTTTCTTTTGAGCAATCTGATTCCGATTCTTAGGGGACTTGGTGCTAGACAGCAAAAAGTGAAGAATGCCTTCCAAGGCATGTGATATGTTGTGTTTGAATTAATATAGTCTATGGCATGTGTAAATAATTTGACTAATTTACTACACTATGCAAAATAGGGAAGATGATGAATAGTTAAATCCATATGATCTTTCCAAATTTAATAAATCCTATGATATAAATTTTTAAAATCCAAAAGTAAAAAATATTGATTATAGAAATTCATAAATAAAATCCTATAAATCATTACATTCTACTTAAATTCAGTGGACTTTTTTATCCCTAAATAGTCTTTTAAAATCCCAATTGAATACACCCCCAAAACACTCATTTGATGTCACTAATCTCGAGGATGAATCAAATATGTTCGATAAGATGCTTAAACAGGGTCGTCGACCTTCTGTTGTCGGCTTCACTCAACTATTGGGTCAATGTTGCGAAATTAAAGCATTACTCGGTGGTCATATCTTGGTATAAGCAAATTACTCTGTTGGGAATTGTTCCTGATGCCTTTATTTTAAACATTATCGTGAATTGTTTTGGTCGTTTGAAACCAAATGGGCGCTAGTTTTTCAGTCTTGGCACTATTCTTTAAAGTGGGCCTTCAACCAGATGTCACTACCTTCAACACTCTAATAAGGGGCTTGGGCCTTGATAATAAAGTTCATGAGGCTGCTTCACATGTCCGCAAAATGGCCTTTTTTGGAGAAGGATGTAAACCCAATGTTATTACTTTTATGGTACGTTAATAGATGCTTCATGCAAACTAGGGCAAAATGGCAGGGCTATTCAAATGCTTAGGTTGATGGAAAAATATGACTGTCAACCTAATGTAGTTGTCTACAGCACAGTAATCGACAGCCTTTGTAAGGACCAACTTGTTGCTGAGGCCTTCAACCTCTTCTCAGAAATGGAAAGTAAGGGTATTCCCCCAAACATCGTCACCTAGCTATACGTCTTTGTTTCTGGGTTTATGCAAATCATGTCCGTTGATGGAAGCAACACAATTCTTCACAGAGAAGAGCAGTAAAGGTATCTCTCCAAACATTCAAACCTTCAGTATCTTAGTTGACGCTTTGTGTAAGAACGGAAAGTTGAAGGAAGCTAATCAAGCAATTGACTTAATGACTGCTATAGGTATGGAATACTTTTACTTACAATTGCCTCATGAAAGGTTATTGCTTGCAAAGAGATATGAACAAAGCAAAAGACATTTTTGATCTAATGCTTAAGAAGGGCTCTATTGTTGATGTTTTTAGTTATAGTATATTGATAAATGGATATTGCAGTAAAACAAGAATGAAGGAAGCAATGCATTTGTTTGAGGAAATGACTCGTAAGGGAATGATTCCAGATACGGTTACTTATACAACACTTATTGGCGGCTTTTGCAAAGACAGAAGAATAGATGATGCACAAAACATATTCTCAATGATGAAAGTTGGTGGTCCACTTCCAAATATTTCTACTTATAGTGTTTCACTGGGTGGACTGTGTAGAAACGGCCATATTGATATGGCTTTGAAATTCTTTGGAGAGTTGGAATGCAGTAACGTGGATTTTGGTATCAGTCCCTACAAAATTCATATTGATGGTTTGTGCATGGCAGGAAGATTTGAATCTGCACGGGATCTCTTTCGCAGTTTACCTTCAAAAGGACTAAAACCAGATGTCAAGACTTATAAAATACTGATAATTGTTCTTTCTACCAAGGGCCTATTTATTGAAGCAGAAGCATTGCTTAGAGGAATGGAAGAGAAAGGCTGTTCCCTAGATTCTGTCACCTACAACACAATCATCCAGCGATTTCTCCTTAATGATGAGCTATCAAGGGCACAAAAACTTATTCAACAAATGGTGGCCAAGGGTTTCTCTGCAGATGATTCAACAACGACAATGATAGTTGACTTAATTGCTGAGGGCAAACTAGATACTGATTTTCATCCAGTGGAAAAAAAATTTGAGTGAATTTCATTTCCATCTTCAAATGAACAAGAACTTTCTGATCCAAAAAATAAAAAATAAAAAAGAAAGAGGAAATGAACAAAACCTTTGTAGCGAGGTGGAGATTCTAGTTTGAGTGTAAAAACTAGTTTAAGTAATGTGTTTTCATTTTGAAGCAGTCTTATCTCAGTGAATTTAATTTGCATCTTGAAATGAACAAAAACTTTGTAGCGATGCGGAGATTCTAGTATTTTGAATGTGAAAACTAGTTTATGCAGTTCTTGCGGAATGTGTTTTCATTTTGAAGCAGTCATGTATTGTGGGAGAGTTTCTTGTTTTATGAATTTTCCTTCCATTGTCTTACAAATTTGCAAAACCAGTGTTGGGCTTGACCTATTTTCTTAGCTGCTATACTTTAGGTATTAGTTAGTTTATTCACTTTGCACCCTATTTAGGCATAGTGTATACCTAGATTTTTTATATTTGAGAATTAGCTTTTGGATTGTGTTCTATCCCAGCAGTATTCTGCAACTTTGCTCTCTCTCTCTCTCTCTCTCTCTCTCTCTCTCTCTCATGCCCCTTTATCCAGAATGAAACTTTATCTTGAGAGTAAGGCTCTTAAACACCGAATAGTTTATAACAATTCGATGATTTACTTTGTATATATTGAGGTCGAAGCTGTTACTCTATTGCTGGAGGTGCCTTTAAAGAGCTGGGTTCATTTTATCCTGCAGGTGATGGTAGAAGCATCCAAAGAAATTCAATGTCATGGAATTGAGGTATATCATATATCACGTTTAATGGACACATCAGTTTTCCTTTTTTTTGGAAAATATAATATGCACTTTTTCACAATTCACTATTGGAACCCTAAATTATATCCCTGTTTTTTTTTACTTGTAGCATCAAATCTCCTCTTTGTTGAGTCTCCTGCTGGAGAAGGATGGTTATACTCGAATACAAGTTCGGATTATAAATCTAGCGATGCATCCACTGGTAAAGTTAATAGCTACATCTACTTCTGTTTCTTTTCACTGATTCTTGCATCGTACAGTGTTCTTAATTACGGCGATACTGATGGTAACATCTCTGTTGGTTTTTCTTTCTTGAATTGCATATACATTTGCTGCAAAACGAAAGTGAACTTTATAACAACAAATTAAGCAGGCCAGAGTTTTTGTTGAAAGTTGAAGTTAACATTCAGATACCAATAGTAATGCTTGGTGGACTGAATATTTCCATAGAAGCCTAGATATGCAGAATAAATTACCTTACCTGATATTCTGGTGCTCTATGTGCCTCACCATACCATTCTTCATACTCATATCTTGTGGACGGAAGTCCTGAAAAAACCATCACATAAAAATTTAAAATGAGAAAACAAATTTATTTGTTGCAGGCAGGGAGTAAGTCTCATCTGAATGCTAGTTCATGCTTTGGCAATAAAACAACAATATTAGCTGAAATAGTATTCTTCTTCTATCGGCAGATCCAGGCAACACACACACACACACACAAGCTGTTAACTTTTTCATGAGAATGAGGAAAGCTGGTTAAAAACCTTCAAGATCCACACTTGGAAGTGTTTAAACCGCAATTACACACACACGCACACACTCTCTCTCTCTCAATTAAAAGAAGCTAAGCAGTTCTTTCACCATCAAACAACTAGAAAATTTCATACCAACTATTTAAATCTATCTCAACACTAGGGGGCAGCAGAGCGGAGCATGGCTACGATTGGCTTTTATTGGGTTTTTTTTTTTTTTTTAAATTTATTATTTTTATAATGGGTTTTCTTTTTCATTTTTTATTTTTCAATAGATTTAAGTGTAATATTGGGTCAAATTCTATCATTAGAAACCCAGAAGTGATAATTGATGGGCAAATTTCATCTTGAATTTGGAATGACAATACTTATGTGTTTGTTTATCAAAAGAATATTAGGACTAATATTTTTTGTAATGGGAATGAGCTCAACCCCTTATAAGCCATTAGGCAAGACCTCACATTTTCGATGTGAGATCTCTCTCAATACGCCACCTCACGTGGCATTACTTAAACCTTAACAATGAACAATGCATATTGAGTTACGTGGGAGTAGGCGTAATTGTTAGACGCATAATATGCTCTGATACCTTAAAAGGCTATATGCAAGAACTCACATTTTCAAAGTAAGATCTTTCTCTCAACACTAAGTGGGTATCATCAAAATGATGCAAAATTAAGATTGTTTTCAAAACCTAAAACAGAAACGAAGCAAATTCACATTATATAATACCACAACGATGCAAAATTCGATACCTTTTTATAAGCCTAACACATGGACAACTTATACTTAAAATGGGTGAAAGCACGTGTGGCCTCTTGGCCTAACAGACGTGGGTGAACATTCTCTGATCCTATAAGAAGAATTTAGGCATCCATCACAAAATCAATTGAACAGGTAGAATAGCCCAAGGCACTTATAAGAACTTACACATATACAAAATGAGGAGGAAACTTTAATAGGAAAAATGAAGGAAAAGTCCCCCCCATTTCACCCAAAAAAATAAAGAAGGAAAATAAGTTTCTGAAGCACAGCTAGCTTTTATATGGAGTGATTCTTAGGGTTTACGCATTGTGTGAAATAATTTAAAATACCAATTACGTTGAACCAATTCAGGATCTAGCTTATCCTTAGACAATAAATCAACTACCCATTTCATGGTTGAATCATCCGCAGCGAAACCCATGTCTGCCATTTCTTGAACAAGTCTGATCGCCCTTGATGTCTCTTTATTATTGATACACCCTCGGATAATTGTGTTGTAGGTGCAACCATTTGGAGAACAACCCCTCTCCTTCATTAGTGTAAGTAAGTTTTCCGCTTCATTTATTCGGCCCTTGCTACAAAGTCCACTAATCATTACCGTAAATGTCCTGACATTAGGTTGTCCTAAATGGGTAAAGATATGTGTCCTGGCAGTAGAATGTCCTAATTTGGTAAAGAAATATGAGGGCGGCGCGTCCTCCAGCATTTTACAGAAAAGTGCTGCTGCCACAGAAATTCTATCCTCAATAACGAAGCCCTTGATTAGAGTCTTGTAGGTGGCAGCGTCGGGTTTAAAACCAAACTTGAACAACTTTGCCAAGACCGATAAGCTATTGCCCATTTGGCCTAGATGACAAAAGCAGTTGATCATAATGTTTAGAGTACATATATTAGGAACAATTGGCAACAGATCCATTTGCATACACAAAGAGATGGCAGCAGAATAATGTTTCAATTTCGCAACTTGACCCAATAATTGATTGAAATCGACAATTGAAGGCAGAGGACGCGTTTGAAGCATCGAATTGAACAAATTCAAAGCGTCCTCAAGATCAGTGATTTCGGGTGAGTCTGAGTTTCTCTCAAACTGCCGAGCCTTGTATATGTTTTTATATTTTCTTCGCTCTAAACGTTGAGAATGAAACAAAGCCCCCAAGTAATTGTTGAAGAAAACACTAGATTCAAGAAAAGGCATACCTCCTCTGTGTCTGTGTAGGTTGCGATAAGTAGAAGCAGATCTCCACATCTTCAGCGTCTCTAATTCTGAAGCTCAAATCTCGGAATCTGAAACCCACCTGCGAGGGTTTCGCCTCTGTTATCCTGGTTTTCGTCGCGGCAGTGGGATCTCTGAGCAGGTGGAGGTGGAGGAGAAAGAGGTAGAATATAGGAGAAGGATGAGACACCTCTCACCGGACGGCCGTGGATCGAGGGAAGAGAAACTCGGTGAAGGAGAAGAGAGAGGCGGAACAGGGAGAGGAGGGTCGGGCTGATTGTTGAGTTTAATTGGAATTAATTTAGAGGGTTGTTTAGATTTAATTGGAATTATACTTTGTGGGGGTCTGTCTGGTGCTGCCTCTTCTTCTTCTTCTTTTTTATTTTTTATTTTTATTTTTTTATTTTTATTTTTTTTAAGCGAAAGAGTAGAGAAATTTTATTGAATGTGAATATTAATGTATACATCTTCCCTTGACCAATTAAAGAGCTACTCATAAGTGCACCCCTCTAAATCTAGAAACAAAAGAAGTTACCATGTGAGCAGCTTGGTGGTATCAATTATATGAAGAAGTGATAATGATAAGTTGTAAAGTTGGAGTTTATACAACTTTGTTAATGTCCACTGATTAAAATTTATTAGATTAATCAAATAGTTTTTAAAAAAATTTTAAACGTACATAAATACATTGATACTTTTTCTTTTGGAATAAATACGATAGTATTTTATTGATATGAGGATAAGCAATAAGTTACAAAAATCGGGCTGGCTATGTTATCGAGGATTAGGCGAGTGTCTCTACACATATGGGCTTGGTAGTCGGTCTAACTGGGTAGCCTTGAGATTCAATGTCAACATATCTCTAGAGATGCTAACTTGTTGCGGATGCTTTAGCAAATTTGAGTCATTTTAGTTCTAATTGTAATATTTGGGATCACACTACACGCTCTCTTCATGTGAAGTCTCCTTTTAATTTTGAAAGATAGGGTGTTAGTTTCTCCAGGAATTTTTGTTGTTGTTGTAAGCTCTGTTTATTGTAGAAAAAAAAAACATTTACTTATTTAAAGGGTATTTAAAATTAAACCCAATATGTTAAAACAGATAAGTCTAAATCCAAATTAAAAAGATTGTTATAATAAATTGGGTTGAATTTCAAAATTAAAAAACTAATGCAATTCATATATCTCAAAACACACTTACCACTAGGGCACCGTTATGCATATTATCCTTTAACAAAACACACACTCCACATGAAATATAAGTAACATGGATTGATTCTTCGAATGCAAGCACTTAGTGATTTAGCTAGACCAAAGATAATGTTTATTTAATCTTTTTTTATTTGGTCAAAGTTTATTTAATCTTCGATTAATTCCATTTTATATTGTTCTTTGGAGACAACAACCAAACAAATGCACTGTCACGTTGTCACAGCCCAAAAACAGAAAATAAAGACCAATATATACCAACCAAGAAATAAAGAAGGAAGCTTCCTCACATTCCTTTCTGGAAATGGCACACAAATCAGGAAGCTTCCTCACATTGATCACATCTAAGTTCTAACCATTATTTTGTGAAACATATGGACATTGCTTGGCTCCTGATACATCAGGAGCCCTTCCTCCTCCACATACCACGTGGTCACTTTACAAAAAGACACCTGTTTATTATTATTAATTTTTTTTTTTTGTTTCTTTCAACTCTTTAACTCAAGTCTTGTTGGCAGGTTTTAGCTTAACTCAAGCCTCCTCAACAGCAAACTCCAACTACTTTAAACTCCTAAACTCTTGCTTATAAACTTATGTTGATAAATAAATAAAAGGTATTTAATTTGTTATATAATTTTCTCATCTCCTTACAAGCTAACTGGTTTTCATAACTTTTGCTAAAGTAAATTGGTTGTATAGGTTGCATCCAACCTGTTCCAAGTTAAAAAAAAAAACATTGCAAATCAACGTTGACATCACTGGATAACATATTGCTTAGTCTTGGACACTCTTGAATCTCCATCCACCTACAATATTGCCACTACCAATTAGAACTACTGGATCATATATAGAAATTAAAATCATTTGAGAAAATAGAAACCACAAAAATAAAACAAAACAAAAAAAAGATCACAACTTGGTTTAGAAAACAGGTTGGCTGCAACTTATAACCATTTATTTCACCCAAATTAAAAGCATGGTTAGCTTACAAGGAGAAAAGAGAAGATTATGTTACAAATCAAATAGATGTTTTTATGTATTTATCAACATAAGTTCATTTCAAGTATACTGCTTTGATAAACCATATAAACATAAGAAACCCACTCTTCGAAAGTGATCAAGAAAAAAAACCCTCAAATATGAAGAATCTGCCATGTACAGGAATTATGTAAACTAAAATTCCAAAATTAAGAAAAGGAAACATTGTTGTTGGACTAACCATCCCAGAAGAATTAATACAGGATATAAAATAAACTTTCAATATCCAAGGTGCATATTCCAACATGATAATCAAAAGTTTAAGAGAGGAACTAATTATCAACACAATGAAATTGAAAGTTTTTTTGTTTTTTTGGGTTTGGTCAGAAATGAAACTGAAAGTTAACATTAATCAAAGAAATGCGGAGAAGAATTTGGAAAAACCCAGTCACCAAACAGATCAAGGAGATAGATTAACAAGACTTGAAAAAATAAAAAAATCATGGCCATTTGATGGGAGGTAAATGTTTAAGTTGTGATTTTATATAAAATAAAATAACAAATAACAAATAAGCAACATGTTTTCTGAAGATGTTTTCTAATTAATCTACCAAACGCATTTTCATTTCCTAAAAATGTAAATTCTTTTCTTGTTTTCATTCTCTGAAAATATTCTCCGAAAACATTACCAGACGGGCTCTTAACACTTGTTCTTACACTTAACCTCTAACTCAACACTGTTAACTTTTAATAAAAATTTCCTCAAACCTCAGACAGAGAGGCAAAATGTAATCACTGTGTATTTTTTTGGAAAATAATTGCAAAGTGTAATTACTTGATTAAATTTCAGTTTTTTTTAATTGTTTTTTTATGAGTTTGTTAATAATATATATATATATATATATATATATATATATATTATATTATCCGGATGTCCGCGCATTATTGTTTCTTTTTTATTATTTCTTTTTATTTGTTTTTACCTTTTACCCAATACCCAATTATGCATGTGATTCTTGTGTGGGGCATGCAATGGAGTGCTCTTAATATGACATGGCTTTTTTGTCTAATTTTGGATCAACGAAAGGATTTATGATCTACCAACATTTCTATAGATTTAACTGCACTGCCAGGTAGGATTTTAATTTATAAATTTTCCAAAATTAATTATACTGATGTCTGCTGGTTTCGCTTGCTATTAATTCACCGTTGCTACCATAGACATGGTAGAGAAAGAAAGAAAGAGAAGAAACTACAAGGCATGGCATGAACTAT